GCAAAGATGACCGTTGAGCCTGAGCTTGTGAAACCTGTTGCGTTGAAGGTGACCGCATCCATTGTTGAGAGACTTGCCTAGTGGAAGAGTTCGGTGGTGCATCTGGTGTCCAAGTTTGTATCGAAAAATCCGTCGGGTTCTAAGTCTGGATCAGCTTTTGAGAGGCTCGCTGCTATAAAGAACGGAAATGTGGATTATGCTGCTAAAGCGGCGTCTAGGCCTCATCCTCATTCTGTCATGATTGACTTGTCTGCTAAGAAGTGGAAATCTGCTCGCACAGGCAGTTCTGAAAGATTCACCAAGTTTGAGGCTGGAGAGTTTCCTAAGGTTTGTGCGCTACTAAATGTTGACCTGCTTGAGTACGTCAATGCATGCGCTAAGTTTATTGACAATGTTGGGAAAATTGTAATTGCTATTTTGCAGAGGTGGAATCTTCTTTCTGCACTTCAGCTGCTACTGCTGGGGCAAAAAATTTCTTCTTCGACTCCTTGAGAACTTGTACAGTGCATCACCTGGACATGGCCTGGTCATCTTTAATCTCTTCGACTGCTCCTCCTGGGATGCAGAATATGATATTCTGATACTCAATCGATGTCATAACTCCAATCTTCACCATCCAGGGACAGCCCAATATCCCATTATAGGGAAATGGGTCGCTAACAATCATAAAGGTCTGTTATGAGACAACCAATGGGCTGGTTACATCAAGTGTGATAGTGTCAATAGTAGTTGAGGTGAGTCCATTGAATTCGGTTAAGACCTTTGCTTTGCGTTAGATCATACTTTTCAGGCCCATCTTCTGGATGACCGACAGTTGTAGAAGGTTGATTGAGCTGCCATTATCCACCATGACTCTGTCAACGATGGCATGGGCTAATTGTACAGAAATCACTAGGGAGGGGAAAGTCTACTCCCTCAGTGTCCAGTTTGATGAAGCTAACGATTGGTCCAGGTACAACATCTGTGGCTTGAACCTGATTGACCGATCTCGCCTGCTGGATTTTCCTCTTTTTAGAGTTATTGGTGACCCCTAAATGCTCGAATTCGACAAAGATTCCGTTAATTCGGATTATCTTGGTTGGGGGTTCAACATTGGCATCTACTTCTCGCCTTGGTCAAACAGCTAGTATGTCGAAATACTGGTCACACTTGCCTTCTTTCACAAGTTGTTCAAAGTACCTCCTCCATATGGTGCAATCATTAGTTGTGTGCCCAGGACCCCTGTGGAATGCACAATATTTGGTTTGGTCCATCTTTGAGGTGTCGCCATTTAAAGGTGGTAACAGCTTGAACCATGGCTTGTCCTTGAGGTCGCGAAGGATTTAGCTGATCGGGATTGAGAACCTGGTGTATGTCTTGGGCGCCGTGCCTCCCTTTATTGGGGACTGGTCCCTGCGTTTATCTCCTAGCTTGCTTTTGATGTTGAGTGGCTTATTGCTCGTCTTCTTCTGAGTCGGTTCCCTAGCTCTGTGTGGCTGCTCAGACGGCTTCTGGGAGTGCTTCTCCTCATCCCAGAGAGAGTGCTTTTTTTGCCAAAGCATAAGAGTTCGCTAGGAACAGGTTCTCACCTATAATCAGTTCTTCGAAGAACGGGTGATGTGCTAAGACTCATTTTCTGAAAGCTAAGCATGCAATGCTATCATCGCATCTGACGATCTTTGCCTTTTCCGCCTTAAATCTCTTGACATAAGTGCAGAGTGACTCCTTCGGGTCATTCTTCATGCTAAAAAGGTGGTCATATTTCTTCTTGATTGAGCGGTAAAACGAATATTCCTTAGTGAAAACCAAAGAAAGTCCGTCGAAGCTCTGGTTTAAATGTGGCGACAGAGTGTGGAACCAGTCTTGCGCCTCACTTGTAGCATTGTGGCAAAGATCTTGCACATGAGAGCGTCATTGTAGCGTAAAGGGTCATGGCACTTCGGTAGTGCATCAAGTGTATGTTCGAATATTCATCTCCCTTAAACAAGGTGAAATGTGACGGGTTGAACTTCCGTGGTGGCTCCGCCTGCTCGATCTCGTCTATAAATGGTGACCTACTTAGGCTGGCCACGTCTCTACGGAGGACATCGTCGATAGTGTCAATGCACTGGAATCCGCACAGTTGCTCTGCAACGAGCCTTTGTACTTCATTGTGGATTTGTGCTTGGTGAGAAAGTGGAGCCTCCAGCTACCCCTGGTGTTGACCTGCTGGTCCATGTTGTTCTTCGGCTCGTCCTTCTGGTCTGTGCTACGGTTGCGATGCACGTGGTTTGCCTTGTGCTACTTGCAGTCACTCTGGGCGTGGGCTACCAGTGAAATTTGAGCTGGCCTGCTCACGTGCTCTTCTCTAGGTGTCATGCAGTTGCCTACTCTATTACCTCATTGGAAGATCTCGTTGTGGGCCTAGCCTCATGTGGACGCTTCACCTGGAATGTCCTGAATGCTCATCAGAGTGTGAACCCAACCTCGAATGCACATTGACTTGTGAGCCGAGTCAGGAATGAACACTTCTCTATGCATCTAGACAGGAGAAGACATTTCCCCAAGGGCCCAAACGAGAGTGTACACTACCCGAACACTTGGTTCTTGGCGGGCTGAGCGGTTCTTTGCCAAGACGTCACTGGAATGAGTCATGTTCTTCTGCCCTTATCTTGCTTCGAGACATCTCATCTGGGGCGCCCTGCATCTCGATGCGCTTGAGAAGTTGGTTCACCAAGGTGGTCTGCTGGGCAAGGGCGTTCGTCAAATTGGTAATCTGCTGGGTCAATGGGTGCTCGCCATTTAGATTGGAAAAGCTTGGATGATAGGTGTCTCTATGAGTGATAGAAGTATAGTGGACTGCAAGTACAAAGCGGGCAATCCTACAGAAACCTTGAATCGATCGCGGGACCTGTGGTTGGAATTTGGATCGTTAGAAGTAGCCTTGGAATGGATTGGGCTGCAGGTCGGGTCGTCAGAACGCGTTGGACCGGCGCTTGCTCGCCTTGAATCTGCATGGCTGTGGGCCCTCCTAGCCGTTCGGCTACCACATCTTGGCCTGTTGGCTGAGTGGCTGGGGCTTGGGCCAGCTGAGCTGCTTAACTGGCAGCAGCTACCGAATTCTGGGCTCGAGTTCGGGCCTGCTGTGCAACAAGGCCTGCCATTGCATTGGGCAGGGCCTCCTGCCTAGGGCTTGCTGTGGCAGCTGCCAAGTTCAGGACCTCCTGCCCAAGGGTTTGGAAGTGGACCTGGGCCTCCTACCTAGGGTTTAGTTGTCTAAGATTTAGTGGAAGTGGTGTCGTGGCCTGGTAGCCTTACCGTGGCTGCTAGACCTAGCAATTTCTTACATGATCCGTTAACACGACACGAAAAGAACAAGTTTCGGGTCAACATGATAGCTAATTGGGTCATTATTGGGTCACACGATAATAACTCGTTAATAACAGGCCCTTAACATGTTTACACGAGAGTAACACGCGGGTAACCTGTTTTGACATGATAAGAAAAAAGTTATTTTGATGCTTTTAATTTTTTTAAACTACTAAAAAAAACTTACTATAAAATACAATAGATATAATGAATGTGGAGCCAAAAATATTCACAAGGCGACACGTGGATTTTGGGAAAAAGAAGACAAAAATACCCTTGAGGTATAACGAGGATCCTACATGCGAGTAGCAAGCAATCATCCTCAACCAAGTCAAAAATGCTCCAGAAAAGGTAACCAATTCCAAATTATCTCATCCATCCACATTTTAGGTAGTTATTTCATAACCTACCAATTATCCTACATAAATTGAGATAATTGACAAATTAATGGGATTATTACTCATTAATTTGTCAATTAAATTAGCCATAACACCAAAAAAACACCCTAAAGGCCGGTTATCTCTCTCCCAAAAGAGGGGCCGGCCATCTCCTTTATTTTCCCACTTTGACTTACCTTTTTCACATCTGATTAGCTAATCTTTTTTATTGATTAGTTAATCATGCCAAAAAAATCATATATTCATTCCTTTTTGTAATGTTAATTAGCCAATTAATATATTTATAAATAATATATTAATTGTTAATTGAAAGTCATCCATTTAACCCCAAAACTCCCAAATGGCCGGCCATCCTAGTGGATCTCCCCATATTTTCCCATTTCATCCCACTAATTAGCTAATTAATTTGGCAATAATTATATTTAGCCAAATTAATTAGTCAATTAACTACATAACTCCTAAAATTACCATCAATCATGAACAAAACCCAAAAAACCCTAGCCACCTCCTATCCCTATAAATATACTCTCATTCTCACCAAAAAGCTAATTCGAACACTTTGGCAAAAATCCCAAAATTCTCTAAACACTCTTTCTCTCTAAATTCTAACTTTGGCATCGGAGGTTCTTCGGCCAAAGCCCCCCCCATTCATCGTGGGCGCGTGAGGCTCTTGGCCTTAACCTAAGGTGTTAATTGTTTTGTAGGTGCAAAATTGTCCAAGATCAAGGAGGAAGAAATTTGCATCCACAATGAATATGTATATATCTTGTTTATTAATTATTATTCTATATAAATTTTAAAATTTAAGTTTTATTTATTTATATATTTTTATAGTATATTATAAGCAAGGATTGAGATTAAAAATCATAAAATACATTAAAAATAAAAAAATCAAGTAATTTAAAAATACCAAACACATTAAAAAATTATAATAATTAATTTACATGTGCGAAAAATATGAAAAAAATATGCAAATGCTTGTAGTCACATCCTCTACACTTTGAGGATAGGTATCGTTTGAATTTTTAAAACCATACAAACTCTCATGAATAGTATTTTTAAGAGAGTTCAAAATAAACAAAATTCATAATCATTAATGTATAAGTCTGAAAGATGCGAAAGCATAATAAACGTTCATAATTGCATCCTCAACGCTTAGACAATGGTTACATGGTCATTTAGATTTTTAAAACCCTCCAAATCTCATGAACAGTGTTTTTTATTTGAGTGCAAAATTAATAATAATTATTGTAGAAGTGTGAAAAATGTAATCACTCATAATGAAAAGCTTTACAACTTTCATAAAAGGGTCAACTCCGAAATGTAGTATGTATATACTAATTTAGTATTATGTTTTACATTTTTTTGGGTCAAATTATGTTTTTCATTTTCATTTTTATTGATTTAAAATATATTTTTCTTAACGGGTCAGATCATATTACCCGTTTACTTTAACAGGTATTACACGACACAACCCGTTAAGCTATCGAGTATGACACGAAAATAACACGAACACGAGAAACTCGACACGAATGTCATGTCTAGTGGATGCTAGGTCACAATGGTGATAGTGGTGGTGCAGCTCCGCGGCAATAGGGCTCCTCCTGCCATCGTGTTGAGCCTTGAGGATCTCCGTGGTGGGGCTATGCCCTCGTCTCCATTCTCCGGTCCAAATCCTTCCACGTATGGGGTTCCGTTCGTCGTAGTTTCTGAATTTCCTACCATTGTATCCCTTCTCCAGGGATTGATCAAGAAACTTTTCTAGGAAAAATTAATTCATACAACGTGTGAGAAATTCAACGTAACGGAAAATTCAAGAAACTAATGCGAGAGGCTTCTTCGAGTATCTTGAATTATCTCTCAATGAAAGCACCAATTTGTCAATGAATTTTCATTGTCTTCAGTTTGGACAAAAATGCACCTGTAAAACAATCAACACCTTTAATCAAAGACCTAAGCCTCACGCGCCCACAAGGTGGGGGGGGTTAGGTCAACGGATCTCCGATGCCTAAGTTAGTTTCTCTGAAAGAATAAAGTGTTTAAGACTTTTTAGGGTTGCAAAAGCCCCATAAAATTGGTAGAATATGGGGTATTTATAGGGCAAGGGCCTGCCTTATAGGGTTTAATGGAGAAATATTCTCTAAATATTCCCAAGATATTTAATATGAGATAATATCTTGAGATAATAGGGTAATAATCCTTAATTGATTTAAATTAGTATTACTTACTTTATTGGAGTCAATCTTTAAGTCCTTCAGGAATGTGAGCTGCGTGTGGGAGAATCTGAGAAGTGAGGGCAATCTTGTCCTTCTTGATTAAAAGTTCATATGCCGCCTCTAGAATTTTTGGGATTATTTTTTGCTCCACAGTTGGCATTCCCAGAAGACCTTCAATTTTCACATATTCCACTATATGATCAGACATTTTGACTACATGCACCAGATTCTTCCTCTTGCACAACCAAGAATTATCAAACCACTTCCAAAACACTCACAAAGATCAAGATTATATAAAACACTTCCAAGAACCATAAACCCTATTCGGCAATCGACCTTCAAAGAGACAATTTATAGGAAACAAAGATTTTGGCTATCAGCCTTCATTCAAGATTGCATACTCCGGCAATTGGCCTTCAATGGAGTATATTATCACACACAAATCCAGAAATAATAGCTATCAACTTTATAATCCATCACAATGTCAAACAATATAATGGCAATCGACCTTATAAGCAAACAATTCATCTAGTAGAAAGAAAACCCACTGACACAAAACATCGAACAGTGAGAGTGCACAGACCTTTCGTTGTTGAAATTGCAGAATTCAAACCCCAAAACTTCTCCACGAACAGCAAAAAACTTGTAATCAATCGGAAAACACAGAACCACCAGGGAACGACCACCGCCGATGATACCATATTAACACTAAGCTAAGTATCTCGAAAGGAAGAAGAAAGCAAAGAAAACCTTCTTAGAAGAATGTAGTGAAAGAAAGAAAGAAAGAAGAGAGAGAGAGAACGAAGAATGAACTGCTATGAATGTATTGATTGAATGAGAATTATAGAGAGACTATTATTTATGCTACAACCTTAGTTTCATAGCTAAGTCACCAGAAACTAACTTTTCTTATCCTTTTAGCTGTGTAACCACAATCCTAACAATCTTAGTTGACGTGTAGCCAATCTGACAAAACTATCCTTTGCTGATGTGTACATATCTGGCCATTGGATCCATGGTGGATTGGATTAGCAGCGACTGGTCCCCCGCAAACGAGCTGGGTATCAGGCTTAGCTTGAACAGCCCAATGCCCCTTTGGTCATCATGTTTTGGCATGATGGCTCGGCTTCCATTGATTTTTAGCCCAGAATTTAGTTGGAGTTGATTTTTGTCCAAATCGGGCCATATTCCGGCCATGTAGCCACTCCATTTGATATGACCTTAAGTATGTTTAACCTAGTCCCCTCTACGAGACCCTAAAGTCAAAAGAAAATTGTGATCACTCACAATTTAATCTTAATGCAGAAACAGTTTATTGTTTCGCTTTCTCATGTACCGTTGAATTAAGATAGAATGACATGTAGTTACAATTATTTTGGATCACGAAAACAAATGATAGATTTATAAAAAGTTGAGTCATTTCTTACATTGTCAAATATGACCTTAACTTTCTTCAATTTCCACAATCGCTCTTAGAAGAAATCTTAATCCCAAATGAATATTTTACAGAGTAAAATCCATGAATGAAGACTCAGAACGATATTAATTAAACGGAAAGCTGTGGAAAAGTTGGGAGTAAAAGAAACAATAATGTTATTTTCATTAGCGTATTAGAATAGGAGGCTTAACAAAACCGGTTATCAAAGCCGATGCATGTTAATTATGGATCTCCAATGCATTGAGAACTTTTTAGTGTAATCCGAACATAAAGTGATATACGATGTATTATTATAATACAAGTGAACGACATGATTGATACATCTAGAGTATATTTTTCGATGTCCCTCCACTTCATATACCACCTTATATTCCAGATACACATAAAATTTCTCAAATACATGCAGTCAAAGACACATGCATACACAACCAGAGTGCAGCAAGCTAGGTATAATATGAGGGTGATCGTTTGAATCCATAACCAAAAAAAAAAAAAAAAAAACACCAAACAAAAACTAGAACTGAAAACAAAAACGAAAACGAGAGCTCATGAGGCTATTATGAGTTAATATACAGTAGTAGGTAGCAGTCTGGGTAGCTACCAGAAGAAGTTGTTCAGGTGCGACGGAGATCGTGAATCTTGATCATCAAGATCATGAGATGGAGAATGTACGTGTCTCCCTTCATACGTTGTGATCACCATCCTCGGGTCCTCGGCTAATCGCTCTACTCGTTTCTTTACGCGGCAGTTATCCATCGTACAACGATAATAACTCCTGCAATTCAGTAAACAAAAACGTACTTAGTTCAGTAACAATTGAAATTCTCATAATAATTGGTGCTATAGACTAATTGAACTTCAGGTCTGGGAAATGTCAAAAGCTCTTCAACTGCCCTAGTTAGTAGTACGTTAGGTTTAAAATTTTCAGGGGACCTACTTATGGGACCTATTTAACCTCGAAATTCCAAGTCAAAATATGATTCCTGGTTACTTTAGCAAAATAAAAACGATTTCCCTTTAATTAAATACATGCAGCACTCACCTGAAGGCTAAAGTTGCACATGTATGCTTATGATTCAATTTATTGACTATCAGCTTTTACAAAATCTTAATTTTTCTTCCCTACAAACTCTTACTCAAAATCTTCATCTATTAATTGATCTCCTATGGAAAGTCATCTCTAGCCGGACTTGTATTTGAAAATAGATGCCCATATGGCTAGAATACGAATTTGAACTACACATTCGGGAAAGAATTAATCTGATCAATGATATTAGTAACTAGTAAACCACACATTTAAGCAATAATCAATGATACAAATTTAATTAAAGTTGGTAGTGAAATGGAGAGAATATATATCTAGAAAGATCAAAGGATAGAGACAGCGTTTTAAAAGCCCTGGCTAAGGGGCTACCCACCATCACGATTAATCTCTCGGCATTTAAAAAGATAAGAAAGGACGTCTATGCTTGCCTAAGCACCCGCTTACATACCCGCCTCGACTGCCTGGGTCGCGACTGTAACTTAGACAGAAAATAGGCCTAGCCCGCCTAAGTCGCAACTCTAACTTAAACAAAAGATAGATAACTTCCACTTTGCATTTTATGTTTTAAATAAATAGTAAAAGACTTGTTGGATATATTGGATGAACACTTATTATATATGCTAGTTCCCCATGTTCTGTAGTACTTTTAAAATTTATGTGTCATTCTATTTTGCAATTTTTGTATTCTAATACATTTATGTATTTTTTTTTAATATAAGTAGACATTTATTTATATGTTATATAATAAATTCAAAATAGGGTTTAAAAAAAAAGGCGTACATCATGCCTAAATGTCTAGTACTAGGTCTCTATACCTGTCGCCCGAATAGTACCTTTTAGAACCTTGAGAGGAAATGGAAGAAGTGCTCTCTATGTTTCTGTGTTACATAACAAGCAGATTATAGACAGCTAACTTTTATTTATGAGCTCTCTAACCCTGGCAGCAAACTAACTAATTTCTAATTGAAAACAGGACTTAAAGTGCTTTTTCAAGATCTATTTGGATTTTTACTAAATATTAGTTTCAAAAATATTTTTTCAAAAAAATGTTTTCAATCATTTTAAAATCACTTCTAATTGAGTTCTAAGTCGTCAGTCAACCCATAGCATAAGAATCTTATATCACCATGACTTGGGTTATTTTTTTGAATGGGATATCTTTTTTGAATATATAGTGAGCTTCAGTCTACGGATCTCTCACATAAACTTATTTGAGGGACACTTTTATAGGGCCAACTTAACATTGTATTTCAAAGAGGACAACATGTGCGTACTAATCAATCAATATCCAAGTATATTGTGTTCTTAAATGGTCCACTAATATTGTAACACGTCAAATAAAAGTTAAAACTCTCTTTCTACATCCCCCCCAATTCTTGCTATTCCTAAAACTTAGACGGTTTGAACCACTAAGTACTATGATTCAATAATATTCTTTTGCACTTATAAGTGTAAGGCCTTAAGTTTTACTCTGATCCGTCGTCGAGTTCGACAAAATGATCTTCTTTTTTTTTTTTTTTTTTTTTTTTTTTTTTTTTTTTTATTTTTATTTTTTAGCCAAACTGCTCTATCTAACTTAACACACCTAATTCTTATGGAAAAGTTTAAGTACTTGGACAGACCATTTTAAAGTTGGATTTATTGACTCATTGTTCATCAACAGTAAAAAATCCTTGTCAAGTTCAGCTTCGGGTAGGGTTTTTCAATATTTGTAAGATATTCTAAATAGATGTCAATCATTATTCCTACTTTTGACATTGTATACATTTCTTTCCAAAAAATAAAAGACATTGCATACAATATAATTGAACACCACAATTAATCATTCCTGAAGAAAACAGGAGACCATACAATTCAACAAATGAGGCCTATGTACATATGATTATGCAGGCTATATATAGACACATTCAAACTTCAAATCATATCTGTAGAATTTTGCTGCACTTAATTGCAACACTATGGTGATAAAGTGGGGCATGAATCTCAATGCCAATATAAAAGCAATAAAACAAACTGCTTCAGAAAATGTCATATAATATACGTAATTAAGGTAATATTCTCTTCTCTAATAATTTGACAAGTTATAAGTTGACAGACTGTTGAACTGTGTGCAATGCACAGATTTAAACAAGATTATACCTAACTAAGATCAACAATCTCGATTGACACTTGCAGGAGAAATTTATATATATGCATATATTTTGACATTTGAAGCTGCAGTGAATCAGTAGAATGTCTGTACACAGGCATGCACTAGAGCCATGCAATGTTTTCAGAGAACGAGAACTTTTCCATTCAAGCAATACGTATATAGATTCCGAAATTTCGATGTAACTTTGGGCCATTTGGTAATATTTTTGTCTCAAACTTTGAAAAAGCAAGATAGTGAGAAAGAAAAATATAACAAATGGGAGGATATTGAAGAAGAAGTATATGCAGTGGTGGTGCGTAAAAGGAGACATGCATGCAAACTAAAATCATTTCACATTGATCTCTTTCTTTCTTATTATGTTTTTGACTCATGCTCTATTTTCTCCACCTCTTTCCACCAGCATGAGGGCTACAATGAGCAATAACCCGGGTAGCCTTTTTTTTTTTTAAAAATAAAAATATAATACATATATCTTTATATATTTTAAGGTAATTCATCCTAAGTAATAAGCCTAAGCCGTATCACTCATTATTAACACAAGTTAGTATGTCATTCATTGGGTATCCTAGAGAAATTTGTTTACTCAGTTATACTGAACAGATTTCTTCAATGGAATCTAATTTGTGGAAGGTACATTAATTCAATATTTCATGAAAAAGAGTCATTTCCGGTACCCCAATATTATCCACCCCCTTAATTATTCTGCTTTGGCATATATAACTGGTAAACTTTGTATAATTGATCAATCTTTGCACACTATAATGAATTTTATATCATATGAATTCATCTTTGAAGAGTAGTAATAATTATAGCTCTTTTTGGAATTGCTTTTGCAATGGCTACATTTACCATCAATCTCCAGCACCAAGCCTAGCCTGTAAAAGCCTAATGATGACAGACAATGATACCAATGACAATAATAAAAGAGAGAGAAAGAAAGAGAGAAAAAGGAGAAAAGAGGGAACACATCATGTGTAATGGGTACAAGCGGTAGAGCTAATATTTCCAACGAGACATGCAACTAAATTTTTTTTTGGACTGATTAAAGAAAAAAAGGAAGGAAAAGGGTGAGGAAAATGATCAGTAGAATCTGAATTTTTGCAATTATACCTTGGATGCTGTGTGTTCTTTACCACTTTCTGTCCGTACTTTCTCCACTTGTAACCATCATCAAGCACATCGACATCGCTCAGGGTTTTGAAGCAAAACCTAGGCTCCCTTACCTTCCTCCTAATTGCCTTCATCTTCTTCATCTTCATTGCCGAAAGCCCTCCTAAATAAGGATGATGGCTGTCGTCTCCGCCGCTTGATCTCTTGCTGCTCAGGCAGTACTCATCACTCACGTCTCCCCATGCCCTAGAATATAAATACACAGAAATGGTTTCAACACATATTTACATGATTAATAGTAGTGCATGTTATGCAAAAGTATAATTATAAGGTGTTAAATTAAAGAAAATGTTCAAGAAGAGTGCATGGAGATTAATTAGAAGGGGAAATAATTAAGTGTGACATACTATATATTAGTTTACCAGAGATTTGCGGTGGATCTTTGCAGAGAAAGGAGATGGCCATGGGGTCCTCCTCCTCCTCCTCCTCCTCCTCCGCCAAATTCAGAACTAGTAGTGATGTTATGATCTTGTTTATGCCTCAGAGGAGGAGTAAGTGATGGCCGGGGGACTAGGGTTTCAGAGAGAGTGGTAGTTGAAGGTGCATCATCAGAAGCTATGCTAGCCGTGCTCAAGCCGCCTTTGAGAGATTGGTGACCTACCAAGGGCAACGATGAAAAGGTCAAGTTTTGTGGGAAAGGAAAGAAATCCGTCTGTGTATTACAGCCCTCTCCCTCTTGATTCTCAAACAAACCCAGCGGCTGCTGGTGGTGGTGGTGGTTGAGAATGGCTGCGTGGGACGTTCTAGATGCCATCTCTCTCTCTCTCTCTCTCTCTCTCTCTCTCTCTTCTTGTATATATGGTGTAGAGGATCAATAAGAAATATAATTAAGGTTATTAGCCTTGTAGGGAGATGATAATCCAAGTAAATCTATCTGGGAAACAACCATACGCAAAGTTTAGATTAAAAGCACCAGGGAGGCAGGAGGGTCTCACTCAAACTTCAAGGATATATACATGGAAAAGGAATCACCTATAAATAACACATGACTACCACTTTCCCCTTGTTACTTTTCCCCTCTTTTGTTTTTGGACTGTTTTATTCACACCCCGCATTGTATTAATACATCATACGTACTAGAATTACCAACATCTCTTTTTAAATTAAATATTATCCTCCTCTCACTTTAATTACTTATCCAAATTACACTCACACTACACTTACTAAACAAATTTCAACAAGTATCCACCGAAACTGCAATAGATGTTTGCCGAAATAATATAAAATTCCAGTAAATGCTTAGAGAAGTAGCTGTGTATGTTGTCAGTATGCTCTAAACTAAGAGTAAGTAACGCATGAAACAGTTCAATTTTCAGCTAGTATTCTCAGAAATTATCTTCACCTCTTCAGTGGAAACCTACCAAAATATCATCGTGTTTACAGTAGAGACCTACCGAAAACCTGTACTGGGAGTTATATATATATGAAGTCATCTTTATATTTTATATTTTATATATATATGAATTCATAACTTGTGTGGAGCCTCCAAACAATTGATTTCATGTTTTATTCATTAAAACAAGTTTTTTTTCTCATGAACGTGTTGTCCTTTTATATATATATATATATGAAGTCATCTTTATATTTTTATATATATATATATGAATTCATAACTTGTGTGGAGCCTCCATACAATCGATTTCATGTTTTATTCATTAAAACAAGTTTTTTTTCATGAACGTGTTGTCCTTTAATAGTTATATGGTTTTGTTCTACAATGAAGAATGGAGTAGGTTGGAGAACTTAAAGAAAAAGAACCTTAGGATGCAAGTTATCTAACGTTAGAAATGCCTTGGGGTGTATTCATAAAATATCTAGGGCCTAAATAAGCATTTCATATTAGGATATATAAGTCCATAAATCGTAAATTTTAAGTAAGGTGTATTTGTGTGGAGTGTCTTATTGACACCCTTTTTTTTGTTCTCGTTCTGTTTTGTTTTTTGTGTCTCTAAAGACCCTTTCAATTTCGACCCAAAAGAAATATTTTCAAATTTAAAGATGAAACTTTATTAAGGGAGATGCAGAGTTTGAACAGGAACACAGTGGGATAAAGGTCCTTAGTACTATTTAAAAACTGAATTAATTAGCATTACATCTTCACCAACAAGGGTTATTTTTACGTTATATTAAATAAAGTTAACTGTTAATAGGTCAAATATATCCAAACCAGTTCCTACAATCAGTTCAAACTAAACATGTCCCGCTCACATAGAGTACTAAATAAGTAAATAGTGCAACACATGTTGCCATTTGACCTCAAAAGCATGGAAAATACATGTCTCACAAGTCCTTGTTAGTGGAGTTTCACTGTTTTGTGGAGGTCAACAATATAGGACTAGTATGCTTAATCACCAAAATTTCACGTTGTTACAAGGTTTATTTGCCTGCTTAATTACCAAAGTTTGTCGTTTAATTTGGTTGCATGGAGAGCATGTGGAAATTCCCTCAAGCATAAAAATGAAGGGTTGTTTTTATTTTTATTTTTATTTTGACTGGAGAGAACCGACAGTGGACATATAGATGAGTACACAATAATAGAACAAAAGATCTGAAATATAAGTGTGCATACAACTACAATTGAAAATAATCACTCGCTGCAAAAGCTTTCAAAAAGAAAGGAAAAAGTAAAGTGAGGGGTTATAATTCATATGTCTAACTAATCAATTTCTCTGGATTATTTTTGTAGGGTTTATTTGGGGGCACCAAAAAGAAAGAAATATTAGAGGTAATGATGATGAATCTTGGGTGCAAATCTACCTCCTCTGCATCGGCCGTGAAGGTATCATTACGATTTTTGTGAAAGAGGCCCTATTTGACTTTATGCAGAGAAAAAGCTTCTCACCTTTCTAATCTCGCTTTTGCTATCTACTTTTGTTTATGCCTCACCCAACCCCCACGTCTACCACATAATTTCTCAAATTCCAAACCACCGTATGATATTGTTATCATCTCTTCAATTAGGCTTGGTAATCTTTCAATGCCTTTGAGGTTTCTTCCTAAGTTAGAAATGTTTGGTGGGCCTTATTAATCGATTTATTGGCATAATACTAGCAATCTGCTGATTAATTATTTTCCCAACTATAATTTAAGAATAATGGCCTTTTTGTACTTCATCCTCTTGTTAAACTTAAGATAAAATGATTCACATATTACATATGGGTGATTTTATTGAACACCCCACAATTTAGATCTAATTTGTCCAGTGGAACACGGAATCGATTAGTTGAAGGCTTCACAAGAAGTTTCTCTTTATATAATTTCTATTATGTATTAACTTTAAAGATGCTCATAATATGGTGATCGTAAAATGTGATCAAGATACAATTTTCAGCAGTGCTCTACCAAAAGCATGAAAATATTTTGGTATGTCTATACAAAACTATTCAACTTTACAACTAGAATCTACTGAAATTTTATGGCAGCAGGTCCACACCGAAAATTCTTCAATAAGTTAGTAACAACTGCAAGTCGAAATTGTTCAAGTTTTCAGTAGTACTCACCAAAATTATCTGCGGTGAAGATGAGTCTGTGTTTTCAATTTTGTTTTCAATTTACAGTTAGACATGTGTATTTAGTGTACAAATTTTAGGTGTTATGTGGAGAGGGTGGGTATGAGATTTAAGTATTTTTCATTTTGAGTTTAAACATTTCGGTATGTTCGATGGAGTAAAAACTCAAATTTGTGTTTAATAATTTGAGTATGTTCATTAGAGATAGTTGAATTTATGTTTCAGTTTGACTCAAAGTTAAAGTTTCACCGGATTGGGTATGTACATGAAACAATTGCTATACTTTAACTTAAATATAATATTTGAGTCCAAATTTTAGTTTGGAGATTGCCTCATCAAATGAATACAATTACATTGTGACTCATTCATATATGACGAGCAGTATCATGGTACGAAGGTGATCATTAGAGAAATGTAGGGAAATGTAGGGATATAGATTTGTAGTCCATATGAAGAAATGATTTCATTGCAACAAACGCTCACATTTTAATGATGTATTATGTAGCATGCAAGATAAGATTATGGTTACATAATTACTTATTTGAAATGACTTAGAAATGTTGGACTTCAAATGCTTTGACCTTCATAATTAAATTTGTTAATCACTTGATGATTATTAGCAATGTTATTTGGATTTGTAAAACTTACACATTTATTGACACGTATTATAATATTGGTGAATCCTACATACAACACAGAGATCAACTCTATTATAGAGTTAATTTTATGTGTCTAAATAGAATTACACTAATTTTTCTCGTGGTGGTTTGATTTGATGCATGCCCATAACTGAGCTCCCCAACACTGCTTTTCTGCTTCTCCTTCATGCGAAGTCCACCCTTGATATATATCTTATATTCGCTAAACTTTGATCTATCAGTCTTTGTAACGATATGTATGTTTTTTGCCTACTAAGTCAAAATAAGACTTATTCTTTATGGCAAGATGCAATGAGTTCTCTAGCAACTCGACTTCCTTTCGTAGTTGTGGTGACCAAGGTTTAAGTTTTTGAGTTACATTGGTTTTGTTTATTGTGAGTTGTAAAGTTTTGGATTTGGGTATTCCTTGAATGTTGTGATATGCGATTGTAATGTATACTACTTAAGGAGTCGAGTAATGCTATGTCATACTTTTGTGTACTATCACCCTTTTAATAGTCATAGGATCTATTAATATAAGATGTCTCGTCTCTCCTAAAGAAGTAAAAAAAATAAAAATAAATAAATTTATGGCAAGATGCAATGAGTTCTCTAGCAACGCGACTTCCTTTCGTAGTTGTGGCGGCTAAGGTTTAAGTTTATGAGTTACATTAGTTTTGTTTATTGTGAGTTGTAAAGTTTTGGATTTGGGTATTTCTTGAATGTTGTGATCTACGGTTGTAATGTATACTACTTAAGGAGTCGAGTAATGCTAAGTCATACTTTTGTATACAATATTGCATCACCCTTTTAATAGTCATAGGATCTATTAATATAAGATGTTTCGTCTCTCCCAAGGAAGTAAAAAAAAATTTAAAAAAAATAACAAACTGTTTCTCATTTGGGTGGATTTGGGTCTAGGAGCAGGGTTGGGGAAATTCTTTTTCACGTGAATAATGAACTACCTTAGCTAATCTTTTATCACTCACCACCTATTGTGAATAGTTACTATTCTCAATAGTTTATTTTTATTTTCGTCTATGATTCAATTATTTAATAATTCTTTAATGGCCAAAGTTAATTTAGAATATGTTTCTATGGCTACGCCACGTGTTCATATCTATGAGAAATCTTGTTAAGATGTCATTATCATCGAGTCACGTGCCCTTATCTTACCTTCAACGTGCCCTGTTTTTTGTCCCACCAAACACCTCCAACACACTCTTGACAAAAACAAGAAATATGGCTGACGTCAACCAAAACGGGTTGATTTGGGGTAGGACCGCCCGAGCTGCTGTCAAGGCTCCAAACTGCCCAGACTTGGAAAGATGGGTGAAAGGGTTTTGGAGTGGATTTGGCCCCTTGTCATGGCAAACATCGACGGGGTGGAAATGCTCTAAGAATAAAGTGAGAACGGAAGAGATGTAGAAATGTACATATAATTTGTGGGAGTGAGACGTTTTATAATTAGGTTAACTATTGCTGGCGTGAGGCTAACGTACCTATGATGTCAGCATAATACGTAGGAAAATGGAATAATATCTAGGGCTGGCTTGGCCCTGTGAAAGTTGGAGATGGAGAGTGTGGTGGGAAACAAACATCATTTCTTTTTGTCTCTGTTTATAGGTGGTCATTATTCCACTCAGATTCACATCCCCTATTTATTATTTAATTCATCAATTTCTTTCTTACCTTTCTTTTTGTTTAAAAAACAAAAATAAAAAAATCTGGATATCGATTTCTTTCTTTGCTTTCCCTCAAAAAGCCAAAGGAAGATGAAATAAAATATACAATTACAGCGCGAGACTGTGACCG